GGCTGCTGGGGGCCCGTGGCTGCAGGAGGCTCCATGGCTGCTGGGGAACACCTGGCTGCTGGGGGTCCACAGCTGCTGGGGGACACACCACCTCAGGCCCAGCTGCCCTCCCCTGCCTCTCCACAGGCGTCATGGCTGGGGTGAGGAGGCAGGGCCAGGGCACCTCAGACATCCCCCAGCTGCTGGGGGAGGAAGGCTCCAGCCCCCGGCATCCGGTACCTGACAAAGATCTCGGGGAGGGTGGTGTGTCGTGGCGAGGAGCTCTCCCCACGTCCTCTCCTCCGAGCTGGTGAAAGAGCCACCACTGCTTTGTGCCATGTGGAGGGGAAAGGCCCTGGTCACCTGGGCGCTCCTCACCAGCCTGGCCACGGCCAGCTGGGGCATCCAAGGTAAGTCCCCGGGTGTCAGTCGCTGCCCACAGGCCGCTGCGGTGCTATGCCCGCAGCTGAAACCGGCTGCACCGCACAGGCTGACACGGTACGCGGAGACCCCCGGCGCGGTGCACCGCACCTGAGGGACCCCATGCAGATGGCAAGGCGGGGGGCTCGTCCCGCACGCTGCAGCGGGTCAGCGGTGGTGCCTGTTGGGCACTCGCTGTGGTCCTTGGAGACTGCCACCCGTATCGCTTACGCCACGGGCGTCTCTGCAGCGGTGGGAGGGTGGCTGGGAAACAGGCCCCTGCCGCTTGCTGGGGTTTTCCGTTGCAGCACCCTGATGCGAGGTTCGTAAATGTTGATGGGGAAAAAGGAGCGAATCAGCACAATGGTTCACAAGGCTGGGATCGCTCTGCTGCCTTTGCCCGCCCTAGACCGTTGCTGTGATGGTCTGGAGCTGTGTGTGTTGCTCCGTGGCTATGTGTTATAGCTCAAAGCTGCCTTGCAGTGACAAAGCATGTAAAGTTGGACGTGGCAGCACCATGCTGTTAGACCAAAGTAGCCACGGGCTTTGTACCTAGCACAAATATGCAAGCAGGAGAGGCTCTGTTCTGTAGTCCACTCCAGACTCTGCAGGTGATAGCTTTGGGCCGAGGAAGCAATTCTATGTGTTTTTTTGCACACTTTTCACTAAAAATTTTTTTTACTATTGGGTAAAAACCCAAATGGGTTTTTGCCTCCCCATTCAGGCTCAGCTCCTGTCGCTGCTGGTGGAAATATTTCACTTTCTGTTGAAATGTCTCTTGCTGCAGTTGTACTTCAATACCAATGCAGTCTGTGTGCAGGATGAGGGTCATGCACATGCAGTCTGAATGGAGTCCAGGTAGATGCCTAATTCCAGTTGGTTTTCACTCTAAGAGAATTTGGATATGCATTAATGTAACCACCAGTTGAACACTGGACTACATTTTTGCTGGGTAGTCTGCTTTTTCCAGAGTTTTTTGTTTGCAGTCTCCTCTCTACTGCTCAGGAAACAGCCTAATGTGATGCTCTCAAGACTAGCCATCTCCATGAATGAGCTCTCCTGAGTTCTGCACCACTGTGAGGGTTGAGAACTCAGCTGTAATGCTCTCTGCTCTCCTTTCTTTTTTTACAAAACATAAAGTAATCCTGAAAGAAGTCAGTGGGAAGGTGTTCCTGCAATGTGAAACAAACCTGCAAAGTGAAATCATATGGCTGAAAGATGGGAATAGGATAGGAAATGGAACACAACTGGACTTGGGTGCAGTTTACAACGATCCCAGAGGCGTCTATGTGTGTCAATTGGAAGGCAGAAACGAACACAGTGAGCTCCAGGTGCACTATCGAAGTAAGTGTTGCAAACTTGGTTTCTAGAACCAGAACTGCTTGGAGTTTTCACCCAAGCAAATTTTTGAGGGAACTACTGATTTCCCAGAGTTTGAAGGTGGTTCCACCAGTTTGTGGAAGTCCTGACAGCTCCTATGCTAAGTTTGCCCTTGGGAACAGCCAAGCTGCACATTCCCCTGCAGCTGGTGTCCCCGTGAGAGCTCTACAGCTTCATTTAGTGCCATAACCTGGCATTCCTACTGCCTCATTGCTAGCCACTCGCAGGCCCTGCTGTGGCCTGCCCTGAGTGCTAGGGACACAGGGCAGCTTGCGCTACTGCCTTGGGCCATGCAGCAAGCCAAATTTAATCCCTGGTCTCTCTCACCCTGGGACTGGAGCCTGCCTGGACTGGCAGAGCTGGCTCAGCGCTTTGGGCTCAGACTGGCCCTGGCAGCAGAGCGGAGGCAGCCAAGGGGCAGGGTCCTGGTTGTGGCCCTGCTTTCAGTATCTGTGTCCTTTTGGCCTTTCAGTGTGCCAGAACTGCATCGAAGTGGACGCTTCCACCATCTCGGGGATCGTGGTCGCAGATGTTGTTGCCACCATCTTCCTGGCTGTTGCTGTGTATTGCATCACTGGCCAGGACAAGGGACGCATGTCACGAGGTGAGGGGAGAGCCCTGCTGGCTGCCCGTGGGTGGGGACAGGAAGTGCCTGGGCATCTCTAGGAGCTGCGTGGTACCTAGGGACTTTCCATCACTGCCCACAGAGCCCAGCCACTGCAAGCTGCAGGCAGCAGCCAGCACACAGCATGTCTAGGGTGGGGATCCATGTGAACATTCTGTGTACCCTTCCTGCCCCTAGCTTAGCTTCCCAGGAGGAGGCAGCGAATGCACAAGGTTAACAAAACATCATCCCAGGGACAGCAGCTGGTGACACAGGAACATCTGATGCCTTGCAGGGGCTTTCCACCGAGCCTCCCAGAGGAAGTAAAAGCACAGGGCTGAAAGCAGCTGGCTGCTTGGGTTTGTTTGCAAATGTTCACCACACTGCCCGTGAATCCCCTGATCCTTGACCTTCTTCTTTCTTTCTTTAGCTTCTGACAGGCAGAACCTGATCGCCAACGAGCAGCTCTACCAGGTGAGCGTGGAAGCGCACGTGTGTGTGTGTGCACATGCATGGGCTTCAGCACCTCTACATGGTGTGGGGCTGCATGGTGGGACGGGCGTGGCCATGATGGCACAGCTGCTGGGGGATACGCGATGCCTCGAGGCACTGAGGCATGGTGGAGATTCGCAGCTGCGTCCCCCTGAGTGATCCAGAGGATGGGGCAAGCCCAGCTCCCCCTACCTGTTATTGCCTGGCATCGTTAAGCTCTGTGTGTGGGGAGGGAAAGCTTGGCAAAGAGAGGGCTGGGCCAGCTTCCCCTGTACCCTCTCTCCCAGGGCTGGACAGACACAGTTGTAACTCGTCTCACCTTTATTCACTCCTAGCCCCTTGGCGAGCGGGACGATGGACAGTACAGCCGGCTGGCACCTGCCAAGGCCCGCAAGTGAAGTGGGAAAACACTGGGGCCTGCGACTCGTCACACTGGGAGTGATATTAAAGCAAAGCCACCGCCAGTGCCCAAGAGCACTGGTACCCAGCCCTGGCACTGCCTTTGTAAGCTCGCTGCTGGCAGAAGACGCTGTGGGGTTTTGCCTGGAGAGCCCTCTGGCTCCTTGCCAGGATGGGCTGCTTGTAGCACTCTGCTCTTTCCATGACCTCTTGTGCTTCTGTATTCCTCTCATTAAAGATGAGACTACCCCACAGCCTCCCTGCTCTGTTGGTTGCACTGAGGCCTGGGGAGCCGTGCAGTCCCTGGGGAAGGCACACGCTGGATGTGGATCTGCCTGGATGCCTGCAGAGCCATAAGGCTCCTGCCTGTCCCAGTAGGACACTGCTCTGCCAGTGCAGGCAGGTGCCCATGTCTGTGCCACCTCTCTGTGCCAGGATCTAAATGACATCTGGGTCCATTGCTGAAGCTGAGGATGGGGGACCTTGTGAAGGGAGAGGGCTGCCATCCCTGATGCTGGCAGATGCTTTGTCTCATTTAACTCCCCTTCCAGAACGGGGAGCGGGAACACCAGGAGCACAGTGACACTCAGCAGGGTCTGTGTCACTCCTGCAAAAGTGCCTGTGTGCCTCAGTCCCCTGGACAGAGCTGGGGGGCTGGCAAATAGGAGGACAGGAGGATGTTTCCTCTGCACATGCAGGGCTTCGTATCTAATCGCAGTCTCCAAACTGCAGAGGCTTGCCAGGTCCCTGGCACCTAGCCAGCCTGCAAGTTGCCTCAGTGCTTAGGGGAGTGAAGCATGAGCACAGAAGCAAGCTGTTCTGGCTCCCCAGAAGAGCTTGCAGGGGCTAGGCCCAAAGAGGAAATGGAAACAGCAGAGAGGACGAAAATTGCAGCAGAGACCATGCAAAACACATGGCAGCAGAGCTGGCCAGGCAGCGAAGGCCAGAGGCAGTCCACACTCCCCACACCTCTGAGGTTCTTGGGAGGCTGCTCCCCCATCCTCCTCTGCAGACCAGCGGAGAGTGACTCACATTTGTGACTAGGCATTGATAACCCCTCTTTCAGGCTTACTAGCCATCCCAGTGTGCCGAGTACAGGATGTAGTCGAGCAAACTTTCAGAGCCTTTCCCAGCTCAACCACCTTTCCAGACACTGAGCAGCACTGGGTCTCCCCATGCCAACCCCACTCCTTCTGACAAGGTCCCCAGCTCTGAGCAGAGAAACAGCTACTGTTGTCTGACCATGGCCAAAACGGGAGGCAGATAACAGACAGGATCAGCTAGCAGTTAGAAACCTCAGAAACCAGGTCACCCTCCATGTGCCAGTTGCACACACCTGTAGGTTGTGTTTTCCTGCTTTTCTAAGAATCTGGGTGACAGGCTTTAGAGAGCACCAGGCTGTGAATTGCCTTGTGACTCAGTGGTATAAAGTAAGCACCGAAAAAGTTAACGCTCAATAAAAACTGGCCACAAACCTGTGACATGTTTGACACAGCAAACAACACATAGGCTGTGCAAAGCAGCCCACTGGTGCACCCCACATGCCCTTACAGGAAATGGTGTGTGATCAGCCTTGCGGGCAGCGAACAAGAAAAGGACCTGTTTTCCTATGGTGTCAGCTCTTTACGCAACAACATTTTGCTCTTCACAGGTGCAGAATAATGTCTTAGTGGTTTTTCCACTCTAACCTGCTCCAGTGAAGGGTGAGCCTGATACCGCCATTTGCAGGTACAATATGCCAATACCTGCCTTTGGTCTGCAAAGCCATCTGGGGAGGACCTTATAAAAAAAGTGACCCGCAGACTGCCTAGTTTGCAGCGCTTTCATCACCATCAGATCTCAAAAGCACTGAGCAAGCGTGGCTAACCACACACAAGGAGCAGGAGAAACCCGGAGCAGAGTGGGTGGGTATGTTCTGCACAAATCAAAGAGCCAGCAGAGGCAACGTTTAAAACTCTATTTGTGAGAGGCTCCTCAGCACCTCGCCCTTGGTAGGACAAAGAAATACTTCTATAGTGCAGCTAAACACAGAGGCAGAGAGATGTTGTCACTGGGTGGGTGCTGATCCCACTGAGATAAGGAGAGCGTGGGATGGCACTGGTTGGGGCAAACACGCAGCCCCATAAATGGTGGCAGAAGCAAAACTTAGACCTTCTACACCCAGAGTGGTCCGAGCTTCTCACATCCCATTCATGGCAATGGGCTGTATGGCTGGGCTAGGCAAGCATCCCTGGAGCAGTGATGTTTTGCAGAAGCTGAGAACATGGCCCAGAGTGGTTTTAGAGCTACTGGGGGTTAATGCTGCTCTTTGTATCTTGCAATCTCCCTCCTAGACGTTTAGTGCCTTGTATGGTAAACCCAGCTGTGCTGCCTTTAAAACCACATCCTGCAGGGTAAGCATAGCAATCTGAAGCATGAAACTTGCTGGGTGTTCATCTCCCCAGGCTGAAACTTAAGGGTTAAACCACCCCCAGGCCCCATCACTGTTGCTGTTTCCTTTCTTCAGAGCTGTTGCTCTGCAGAGCAACACAAGTGTGGCTCACTCAGCCAGTGTTAGACCAGAAATGTTCCCAGGCATCACAGCATCTCTTGGGCTCATAAGTTGCTACCTGTCCCATTGCTGCTGCTTTAGAAACCACAGCTTTTAAAATCGGGCAGATTTAAAATCTGTATGTTGAGTGCATGGGACCTCAGCTATTTCACTTGTCCCAGACTCCACTCCCCAGCTCCTGTTGACCCCTGCCCTGCTCTCAGGCCCCGCTGTCCTAGGCATGGCAGTGCATTTTTCTATGTGTACCTGTCCCCCCTGCCCCATCCTGGCACAGTCTCCTCCCAAACACATTGCAGTCTGCCTCAAGGTGAGTCAACACAGACCCACAGAAGCTCTCACTCTCTTGGACTACTGACCTGGGACGTCCCCTTAACAAAAACTGTTTTTCTTTAACAGAGACAAAAACATGGGGGAAATCTTTTCCACTGCATACCTGGGGGTGTTGTCTCCCATTTTACTAATATATTACAGTTTTTAAATGTATATTAAAAAGCTAAAACGGATCTTTACCAATGGTAAAGAAGCCCGTCATCTTTCTACAGAACCCAAGGAGAACTCAAGTACAGAGCTGAAATGGGGAGAGAAAGGGCAGCAGCAAAGGACAAATCACAAGAATCTCTAAGAGTGATAGCTCTGGAAAATGAAACTCTGCCAGCGAATGTACTTGCACACCCCTTAAGGTACAACACACTCAAAGAAATGTGTTTATCCTAGACTACATTATAGAATATCAGTAAAAATGGAGTCCATGAGGTCTCTGGGATGAGGAAGACAGCCTAGCAAAAGGGTTTGATGCTCTCTTTGATTTTGTAGGTTGGGCTTTATCTTTGTAGCCCCAGGGCATTCATTTCAGTTGCAGTGAACAAGCTATTTCAGAGCAGAGTGCTAGTCCCAGGGTTGAGCCAAAGGCCCTCAGTTCCAATCTAGGAAACGTGAAAATCCCTGTTGTGCTGTCTCAGTCAGACTGCAAAGCTGATACTCATTGCTAAGCGGGAGTTCAAATCTTAGCTGATATATCTAAGAGCCCCACTATTTAATTGCAACAAAGATTTAAGCCAAGCACTTAAATTTCCTAACAGGAGGCTTTCAGATGGCTTGGGAAGGCACCAAATCTTCATGTGACCCTCAGAGCGGGTTCTGCTGAAGGTCTGAAACATAATGGTTGCTGGATGCAAAGTGATACTCAGCCCCACTCATGTCCTACAGAAGAAGAGCTGGGGGATGGGCAGGTCTGTCTGCATGTACTGGTAGAAGTGCTTCTCACTTTTTTTGAAGGAAAACTTGTCTTTTTGACTGAAATATTTTCATTCAATGCAGTGGCTTTTCTATGAAAATGTACCATTTTATTTTTAATATGCTGACTGCCTTTCTGTTTCTTTTGTTACAATCCTGGGCAGCAAAATGAAGACAGGCTATGAACATGAGAGCAGGACAAGGTCAGAGCCAGTCACTCTGAGAAGGAGCCACTCTTTGCCCACTAGCTACCCAGGGAGGCACAGGGAGCAAGTGGAGGCACTCAGGGCAGAAATTAAATGGGAAGGAAAACCAGAGCATGCAACTGGAGCAAAGAGAGAAGTGTGAGGGAAAAGGAGGCCAGGAACCACGCGTGAGGCTGCAGTCCTTTAATGAGAAGGAATATTTCTCTTGCTAACGTGCTCATTTGTTTCTTTTCCCTAATGTCAAACTGAAGGCTGAAGGAACACAGCAGGGTGGGACAGCGGATGGCAGCAGGGTGCCTGTCCTGTGTAGGCTTACCCCAAAACACCTGGACCTCAGCAGGCCTGCAGAGAACCAGTACTGAGCTGGGCAGAAGTGCTTAGCCTTTCTGCTGCTGTTTTCCAGACTGTCATCTGTGGGAATTTCAGAAGCCCCTGGATTCCAGGCCTGCATACACTTCCCGCTGACCTTTCCGGATGGGCTGTGGGAACAGCAGAGATGTTAGTTTGGGAATCCTCATTAACACACCTTCAAACAACAGCAGGGTCTTGGCCCACACAATACATGAAGGAAAAAACAGAACAGAGAGAGCAGGCGTAGCGCTGCTCTGCTAGTGTGCACGGTGCACAGGAGGCTGCAGTTCTGCTCCTGACTCCCTGTGGCAGCACCAGGAGAAGGGGCTCCACCTTCGCCACCTTTTTCCTCTGCTCCCAGGAAAGCTTGGAGGTTGAGCGTACTGGATGCTTCTTCAAAGGAGCAAGAAGGGCATATGCTACAGATTACCAACTCTGGCTATCCCTCCCTAATCAGCAAAGAGAGATGGAAAAAATGCAGGTACTCCATACCTCATAGTCCGGGTTTGGAACGGGGGGAGGACGCTGCATCTTCTGACCTGCAATAGAGGCAAAGAGAGGTCATCCTTGGTGGTGATTCCTATAACACAGCATGAGGAACTTTCACAGAGATGATCTCAGGGGAATGCATACCATGAGTCAACTCACAAGGTTTTATCATGAGCTTAGAACTTTTAAAGACCCAACTGCTGCAGGCAGGAGGCTTATGATCATTTAGGAAGAAATCAGCTTTCTTTTAGAAAGGGTGAATTTCTAGCTTTCCTGGTTGTGAAGAAATACTTGAAAACAAGAAGGCCCCATAAGCACAGGCCCAGGCTACAGCTCCACAATATGGATACCAGATCTACACTCCTCTGCCTCAGCAAACTGCACAGGCATGAGCATATCTTCGCATTTCTGTTGAACCCAGCACACAACATGCACACTAAGCACACAAGAGAGAATTTAGACTTGCTGAAAGATTTATATCAGCTTTGTGGAGGCTAGGGGAAAAGCGGCAATGCCTGATCTGCACAAAGCCTGGCTGGTGAGCACCCATGGTGCTTGTCTGACAGGCAGTCTCCTGGTAAAAAAGTCACCATCAACACTTCACGAATAAATGCAAACCAGCATCGTCAGGACAGCACACTTCATCGCTTTATCCTGGCATTTATAACCCATGAGCCCCACTGCTGGACCCACTGGGTCACCAAACCATGGCCTCAGAAGCCAGAAATTCAAATTTATAGTTTTAATAACACCATGATTTCTAATCACATGTTCTGTGTGTAGGCCTAATTCTTGGTCTTTGATTTCCTGAGACAGGAGCTGAATGGGCCGGGGCCAGCCTGGGTTTGCAGCAACACTTGCAAGCTGAGCATCTGCTGTACAGCGTTTGCTTCAGCACAGACTCAATGCTGCTGCACAACAGCCTGTGAAATGGTTTCCTATGGGCAGGAAGCCTTTGACACAACACGGCAGCTGCACCTATCCCATAAAAGAAGGCAGCCTGGAGCAACAGATGTGGCAAGCAGGAGTGTTGTTTGGCGAGGTCTTGGAGGCTTGGCGGGAACAGAGGATGCTCCATCACTCAGCAGGGGCAAGTGTTTAATTTACCGCTTAGCAGACATCACGGAGAGCAGAGACGCCTGAAATGGCTCTTACCTCGTGGCCGACTGCCAGCGCCAGCGCTTGCTCTCCCCTTCCTGTTTTTGCTGAAGTAATAGACCAGAATCAGCACCCCAAAAGTAATGAGAAGGTCCGCAGTGATGATCCCTGTCACGGCCAAGGCATCCAGCTCCTCACAGTTTGTGCACACTGTCAGAAGGAGAGGTGAAGGTGCTCAGAGATAGGCACCCTTCCTTTCCAGCAAGGAAAGTCCAGGCCTCACTCATCTCCTTAATGCTAGCAGAAAAGATACAGTTCTGGGTAGGAGGGAGAAAAGAGCAAACAGAAGTGAAGGGGGACAGCACAGGCCATTCCATCCGCCCCGCCATTTCAGTCTGCAAACAGACACAGCCAGGGGGCTGCTGTGTGCAGCCTCCTGTGCTATCCTCTGCTGTTGGCATGGTCTGAGCCAGAGGGTGCAAAATACCCCCTAGATCATTACCCTCCTCTGCCTACACTGGACTCTTAAGTCCTGAATGCAGAGCAGCTGCCCAAATTTCAAATGGCTCAGAGGCTTAAATCACTCTGTTGGCAGGGATGGGGGGTGAACTCCCCCTGGCTGATGGTTCACAGAAATCAGGCTGTGTGCTCCAGATGGGAGGTTTCCACTCTGCAAGATAAGAAGTGCCTCTGGCCTTTGTGACAGACATTACTCTTGCTTTGCAGCACGGCAGAAGTGGTATAAAAGAAGCTTGTGCACTGTGTGGAATGTGGGAACCATTGACACGCAACCAGCTTGAGAACAGCAGAAGGGAAAGGAGTAGAGAGCAGGGAGATTCCTCTTGCCAAAAGTGTATTCTTGCACTTTTTTACTGCCCACACAGAGTGGGAAGGGCCTCAGCAGAATTGCATTCACCCAGCCCAGCAGCACTGAAAATCAGGCCTCAGCTCCTAACATCTGTCACTGAAATGTGTAGACTTTATCTTTATCCCATAGACTGAGTGCTTTTTCACTCACCTCTGGCATTCAGGTACATTTCATACTTCTTTTCACCTGCCGAACAACTCACATTGGTAGGAGAGCTGTCGTGATTCTCTATAACGTACTTCTTCTCACTGCTGCCATCTTTCATCCCTGTTAACTTCCAGCTTATGCTGTCTGTGGTCAAGGGACATGTGATTGTCACCGTGGTTCCGGAAATCTCCACCAGGAATTCTTTATTGGAAGATAGGCCAAGGAGAAGGGAAACTAGCATTACAAACAACTTCTGAGCAGGCTTCCCTGCCCACCCTTGATCCCGCCATGACAGTTTGCGCTGCAAAATCTTTGATTTTATGGTGTAATGTAAATTCTCTGTGTATGTGTCTTCTTTGCAACACTGAACAGTATCAAAATACTATCACAGAGTGTTCAACTTTATGTCAGAGAGCCTGGCTGCCTGCTATTCTCTTGGAGACCATTAACAGTAATTAGGGGCAACTCGTTATAGCTGATTTTTCTGATCAGTGATGACAGTAGCAACTAACACACAAAAAATATTTTCCTCCTAAAATACTGCTTGAACTCAAATATTTCTGTCTGCCTTTTAGTCCTCACCTGTGAGGCATCTGGAGTCTTTATATCATGCTAAATAGTTAGGAATGCTGGTAAAATACACTTACTCTCTACTGGTTCGGTATTCTCCGCAAAGGAGAGAATAATAAGTGTTAATGAATCAGCCTGCTATTACCTTACTGTTCATTGCTGTTTGAAAATGCCCAACCTGGCTTGGAGTTCACTAGCAATAATTAGAGACAATTCGTGACGGCCAATTTTTCAAATCAGTGAGATCAGTAACAATTAATGAACAGGGAATTTTTCCTATCCTACAATATGTGCAGAATTCAAATATTTCTCACTTGTGAGGTGTAGTTTGTCTTTTTATCACACTAAATAGTTAAGAATGCCAGTAAAATATACTTACCCTCCTGAGCTGCGGTGCCGACTACAAAAGAAAGAATAATAAGTGGTAAGTAATTTAGCTACTGATATCATACACCCTTCCTACTTCAAGGATCTCCTTTCTGAACTCAGCTGTTTGAAAAAAATGTTTATACTCCTGTATTTCTACTAAAGATATTAGAAGCATTCTGTTAGCTGAGATGGGATGTTGTTTTGAAATGAAGTCTTTTCCTTTGGCAGCCATTTTTAACATGGACTGACGCAGAATGGAAATCTGAATAATTTTCTGACCCAGTTTAGAAAAAGGGTTATTGCAAGCTGCACACCCAACAATTTTGCTTTATAGTCATGGACCAAAACCTGGAAAATCATGCCTGGTTTCTGCAGTAAGAACCACTGTCCTCTGCAAAAGTGTACTCGCTGGAGGATTGGACCTTGACTCTTGATTTAACACTGTAGAACAGTTTATCTATGTGATTTTTCTCTCTTGGCAGGAAACAAGTAGCTCCATTGAAGTCTCTGGAGCTGGATTATTATAGAAACAGTTTTTAGGAGGTTTGAATCAGACTTGTGATTTGCTTTAAAGACATTTGTTGATAGAAAGTAACATCATAAAGTAATGACCTGTATTCATGTGTTCAGCGCTGTTGTCTCATCCCAGGTAACGTTTGCTTTACAATAGGAGTTACTTGTAACAAAACTGTAGATTTGAAATTCTACAGGCATAGGACTTGGCTGGAGAGAAGGTGATCTGATGCTTTTTTCTTTATATAAGATGAATTTAAATTTGAAAAAAGAGCAGGCCATTGCTAAACCAAATGTTTTCAATCTTCTCAAAGAATAGCAGTTGGTATTTGCAGCACATTGGCAGAGTAGCTGTAGCCTTATTGTAGTATCTTTTAATTGTCTTTCAAACTTATCTCTCATAGTTACCAGCTTCTTTATAGTCTTTACAGATACTCTGTACTTCATCCTAAACCAGCTTTCTAAATGCTGGTCTGTTCAAACTGGTAACATGGATATTGCTACCACTCCCACGATATCACAGGGAGTCTGAACTGAAGTTATTTACCCACAATCACAAAACAGTTTAAGAAAAGTGCATGAATAAAGCATAAAAATAAAACTAAAAGCACAGAATCTTATAGTTCACACTGCTGCAGAAGGCAGTGCATCAAGCTCCAGCCCTGCTGCATGAAGTTTGGAGCCCAGGTGCCTTAGTGGATCAGCTAGCAAGCAAAATTTGACTAGGGACCTTAGCTTCTTTTCTCTAGCCTGAGAGGGTTGGATTCCCATTTCTCTGTCCCTGCAACCTGCACCCTGAGTGGAACACTTGCTCTGGAGAGCAGCAGCTCCATAGGCACTGTACGTGCCAGTTGCAGGAGATGTGGCTGCAGGTACTTTGCAAAACCAGGCGCATGCCCCCATGCTTTCTCCTTTGCAGCCCCTGGGCAGCCACCCTGCCGGTCCCCACAGGCTTCTGGCCAGCTGTACTCACCCACACACAGCAGGAGTCCCAGGAGAGGCAAGGACTGCTCCAACCTCATCCTTGTGTTCCTCCTTCTCTTGCTCTTCTCTACCACATCAGATTGGCATCCCTGCGGCTGGCTGCAAGGGAAGAAAGAACACACTGGCTTTTCAAGTTCTCACTTACAAGAAAGAGGCCCAAGATTTTTTTCCCAGAATTGTGTACAGCAACGAACTGAGCAGTGCTGGGGAGACTCACTGTTTCCAGTGAAACCTGCAAGCAGCCAAGAAAGACACAGAACACATATGATAAAATAAGCCCATGTCAGGAAGTGCGGAGGCTCAAAACCTCCTCACAGAACGTCATTGACAGCAAGGGGTGGCTGCTCTGCACCAGCCCAGTTCAAGTCTCAGGAGAAACTGTGGTAACTGGCCTAGGAGCAGCAGGAGAGCTAAATGAGCCTGGATTAGCTTTGCTATCAGGACCTTCCCAAAAACTTTTCAAAGCCAGTGTTTCTGAAGGTCAACTACTGCAAGCAACTTAACATAGGAGGGAATAAACAGAGGAACCAGAAATTCTATGAGAAGCTCAGCACCTAGAGACACTGCATGGCCAGCAGAGATGAGCCTGTAAGTCCCAGGCTGTAAAACCTGGGGGTTTTAGTCACTGATGATGCAACCTGGGCTCTACTTTTGTTATTTTGCTCTAACACAACCCATTAATTCCTGCTGCCTCTTCAAGAGTGGTGTTTGCCAGCTCTTCATCTGGACTCACCTCTGCATACATACTGACAGCGAGGAGTGCAGCAAAAGTGGTGGCTAAGCACAGCAACCCCTGCTGCACACCTCTGACCTAAAGCTAATGCTCTGCTCCCAACAGCTACTTGAGGACATGCTTTTTCGTTAGCAGGGAACTTGCTTTGTTTGTGTTGCTGTTTCTCCTCAGTTTCTGTATAAGACTGCAGAAGCAATTCTACATTTTCATGCAGCATTTGTAGTCGTGTTACTAATTGCACCTACAATAAAATCAGCTTTATTTCTGTAAAGCACATTTATGTCTGTCTACTTAGCAGTCTAGCAGCCCTCACGAAAGGTAAATGCTAGGGGGAAGGCTAAGGCTGTTTGGAGAAAGCCTCTGTCTCATGAGCTGCCAAAAAGAGAAGGGAACATGGCACAGCGAAGGCATCCCGAAAGCCTGAGACCTCCTTCCATGCACAGCCAGGAGATGTCCAGACCCTGGGCTCAGTCACCTCTGCCATGGTCCCGCCTGGATGGAGGCCTTGCAGCACCTGTTGCAAGAAGTCAGAGAATCATAGAATTGTTTAGGTTGGAAAAGACCTTTAAGATCAAGTCTAACTGTCAACCCAACACCACCATGCCCACTAAACCACGTCCTGAAGTGCCACGTCTACGTGTTTGAAGTCACTGGTGCTGTGCCTTCCCTTAGGCTTGCCAACCTGGGGCACAGCAGCCTGGCTCCACTAGAGGAGGCTCCTGCCCCTACGGTGTCCCCTGCTCGCACCACAGCGGGCTCCTGCCTGCCTGCCTCAGCAAGGGAGCCTGCTCTTGCCCAGCTTGCACTTTAGGCGGGCAAAGACCTCCACACCTCCATGGGACTGGGCCAAGGGCCTCTCCAGGCTTTGCTTCCAGCAGCGATGCTGGCATGGACAGAGTGGAAGCCTACCGTCTTTCCGTTTCAGTCCACTTGAAGCCTACAGAGGTGGCAGCGCTGCTCATACAGTTGGGAGAATAGTGGGGATTTGAGGGCTCGCGCCCAAAGCAGACATTGCAAAGGCAGCCAAGGCTCCCTCCTCCCAGGAGGGTGCTCTGCGTCTCGGCACGTGCCACACACATCTCAAGGGATGCCTCTCCAGATGCCTGGAAGGATGGAGCTGGCATCTTGCTCCTTCCCAAGAGCTCACCATTTAATGTCATGGCTAATCACAATGTGGTGGGCCCTATTTCATTTATCAAGGTTCTCTCTTTAGCTGTCAGGTCTTTCTTTTACTTACTTCTGTTTCAAAATGAAACATCAGAGAATTTAGGTTACTAGTAAGAGTGTCAGGGACATGGTCTTCTCTTAACAGCTGGAGTCAGCACGTTTTGAAGCAAGACATTGAAGGTCTGCAGGTAAAGATCGGAGCAGACCCTCTTCCCAGTCCTGCGTGTTGTTACACAAATGTAGTCTCAAGTGAGAGCCAGTAGTGTTGCTATGTGGCCCGAGCGGCCAAAGGGCAGTTGCAGCAAGAAACATACTTGTCCTACTGGACTCTGCATGGGCTGCCTGAGGATAAGAAGTTGCTGCTGTGCAGAAATATCTTAGGAGGCGGCAGCAAATTGACTGCTGAGCACTGCCTTACAGATACTTGAAACAAAATCTGAACAAAACCCCAGCCTAATAAATATTTATGTCAGCAACGAAAGAAATGGAGATGATGTTTTGGAATAGTAACTGAGTGGAAATCTGGGGAGATGCAGTGATGAAGCGTTAACACAGGGCCAAATTATTCCCATGAAAATAGGGATATCTGGTATCTCAGAGCTACGAGCAGAGACATAAGTGTCTGTGCTGTTCTGTGAGCAATCCATGAGACTGATGGCCTCAGTCCTTTTTTACATTGCCAAATTTGTAACTTGAAGTTTAAAAGTTAAAAATAATTCAGTATTCTCCGCAGAAATTGCCACAAGGATGTTAATAGCAGCAAATAGGAGGAGAGATGTCCGTTCACACAGTTGCTCATTAGCAGGAAGTCAGAGAGTCCTGCTGCTGTCCTCTTTCCACCAAAACCTTGTTCTGGCCAGTTCTGATATCCTCTCAGTGCATCCCAGGTAATCCAAAACATCCCATCGGAGCCCATACTGCTGCACAGCAAGAGCGCCCTCACTCTGCTCATTAGCTCTAGGCTGAAGGGAGCCCTTCAAAACACCCAGAGGCTAGGGCACCCTTCCCGTCCCTGCCTTGGCACTACTGCAAGGAAAATTAGAATCAGTCACAACGAAAGCTCATAACCTGGGATGACTTCTTGGAACTAGACCATGGACCAGACACAAACACAGCCACAGCCAGCAGCAGGTTCTGCTGTTAAAGTGATTTATGGTCTTCAAATGCAAACATCCTTATTTTGCCGACACACGTGCACAACTCAGTTTCATGCTCTCACAGCTGCCACGCGCCACCAGGAAAATATTTTGTGTCACACTGAGTTTCTCTACTACCTTGTGCTGCTTGTTGAACACGGTGGGGTTTCCCCAGCTGTGCCTGGACTACCATCTGGCTGGACTTGTGTCCAATGTAATTGTCTCTCGACTTTTCCAAGAACTTTACAAGCCCCAGTTAATGCAGTCTCCAGTTCTGCGGGATGGCTGCAACCAAGTAGCGTTATAATGATCCCTTTACTGTAGGTATCTGTTTCAGTAGAACACTTCCATCCCCTGGATATGTGCCCACACTGCTGCCACGGCTATTTTGGCTTGCTTTTTTTGGATCGTTTGCAGGATTGTGCTAAACAAATGGCTTTCATTCCTTCGGGCTATCTACAAACACCTTCAGGCAAATTTTCTTTTAGGAGCAAAATTACCTCCCACAAGAGGGGAGTGGCTTCAGGTAGAAGCTGGGAGGAGGGATGATTGCAACACAAGAGAGCAAAGGAATATGGGAGGCAGAAGAAATTAATCTTACCTGGAAAACCTCCCTGTTTTGCACACATAAGCGAGCTGTGCTGGCCACACCTTGCCTTTCAGTGCAAGGGCAGGGAGCGCTCTCTGACTCAAGCAAGAAGGAATACACACATTGCCTTGCAGGCCAAGCTGAGAGAAAGGAATTTGCTCCGCTGTGCTGGGAACGCTTTGAGAAACTCATCTTTCATCAGGTTATTGAGAACCTGAAACAAATTTCTCTTTCTGATACTGCTCAACCTGTGGAGTACGGACTTGTCTTCCTGATGCATGGCCCCAAGTGGCTGGGTGCTGTCCTCTTCTTTGGGGTACAGCTCCAAGGTAAGGAAACCTGGTACTGTCTGGCCTCAGTTGCCATCTTGACTTTCCTCTTCTGATCCCTTAATTATCATCCTCATTAAGGCAGCAACTTAAGGCAGTCTCAGATACTTGTTGTAGACGATTGCTGTGATTCTTTCGGTCCAGGGTTCACTGCAAGTGACTGGAAGTGATTGAGTTTCTTCAACAAACAGGTTTAGGTGTGTTCAAGCGGAAGAAGAACACTGATCTCATTCTCAGCTCTGGTTACACATCTTTTCCTTTCCTGCCAGGAATCTGGACTTTACTCCTAGATGTTTTTTTCACTATCTTTGTTACTAGACAATCCGAGATTGTTAGGCAGCACTGGGTTTAGATCCTTCACACAGCAACGATTCCAGACCAACAATAAACTCGCTTGAATTTTCAGTGGCTTGTATCAATATAGCTGGAATCTAAGAACACCATGTCCTCCTTTCCCAAATGCATCAGCACATGGATACGCTCGGTAATCTATGTTGAAAAAAGTATTTTACACTTATTTCCCACACTTGTTCTTTTAAGGGATTTTAAAATGAAAAGATTTGACACCGAATCTTTGGATGAGTAACATGATCTCTGCCAATGAAGTTTTTCAAATGTGAACACTTTCAATGTTTTGGCATTTCAAATATTTTCTCCTTTGAGAAAAATTATTTGGCAAGGAAATCTTTGATTATAAATTCTTTTCAAATACAGAAAAGGTATGGATTGTCTTTGTTATGAAGCCATATTTTACAACCCCAGATAAACTTTTCTTTGCTTGAATCACACTGGCATGTGTTAACCTATCTTCCTAAAGTGACAGTGAATATCTTCTTTTTCTGGTGGGTTAGTCTGACCAGTGAGGAAAAGGAAGCTAATGGGAGCACATGATAAGGAACAGGGAGGACTGTCCCTTTCAGCAGCAGCAAGATTTTTAGCTCAGCCCTGCTGTTTTGCAGGAACTAACCCGCTAACTAACTCGGAGAGCTAAAGCAGTCAGGCAAGCAACTCCGCGACTGCGGGGAAAAAAGTGAGCACTTACAGTACCACAGTTTTGGCAGCACCAATCTGCCAGAGTGATTGAACTCGGTCTGGAATGGCAGAACAAGCCAGAGGACAACCGGGGCTCAGGCGTGAGGCATCTTCACCAGCAACCCTTTGGTTTTCCTATTTTTCATTTTTCTTCTTTCTGTGTCTTGATGCTCTCTCTTGCTGATTGTCTCTCTTTCAGCGTAGCACCAACTTAGCGATGCTACCTTATTTTTAAAAAGGCAGCTGCGGTGGTTTGGTTAA